GAACTGAATTCTTTAAACAAAATGGCCGCCAGTCGGCCATTTCGAACTAGATCCCAAAAAAAATGACGTGCATCAAGGTCCTATTATGTTTAATGTATGTACCAAATTGAACAAAATCAGTCCATGCATAACTGAGATCCGGGTCCGGAATGGTGAAAATGAGCAATTTTGATGCATTTTCGGCCTTAAAATGGCCGCTATTCGGCTATCGTTAATCGGATCATGAAAAAAATGCATGTGCATATGTCCCATATAATGTGTGATGTATGAGTGAAGTTTGAACTTAATCGGTCCATGCATGTTCGAGATACAGGTGATCACGGACGGACGCACACAGGGCAAAACATAAGTCCCCGTTTTCGGACTACGTCCGAACGGGGACTAATTAAGGTGTTCACTCTTCCCTGACGTCCGAATCAGAGATTTTTACGACAAAACAAGAAAATATATCAAAGTCTGCCAAATCTAAAATTTACCAAATTACTACATCACAATGTCATTCAAAACAAATGCTATGCAACATGGCTGTCAGAATTGGGATAGGTAGAACTTTTTCTAATATACATTGGGTGTCTCACTTGATCTCACAAATTATTCACCAAACCTCTTGTCAGACTTCTCATTCATTGTGGTCGAACACATATTTGACCCGACTGTCCCACTATGTCCAGAAATGTAACATTCCAAGACAACGTACGTACTCTTAATTTACTTTCTAAGACGGCTCTTCTTGCTCCTCTTCCTAACAATTCTTCGGCACCATCTTCTTTATCATCTTCATCGTCATCTTCTTCATCTTCCTTAGATGATAAGGACACAAAAGATGAAGTTTACTGTGCAACAATTAACACGAACTGTCTGATGTAAAGTTCTACAATGAATGAACTCTTATTTTTATTTTATTTTTGAGAAAAATTTAATTTTAATCTTACCTTCAAAAAGATTCCTACATGTTTTATTTTCTTCTTTGATGTGGTTAACACTGTGCATGGTGCATTCTATAAATAAGAAAATATTGTAAGCATGTTTAACAAATAGACAAAGACAAAGCAAAAACATTATGATAAATGGTATCCACCCACATATAGGAAGCACTCGGGGCTACGTCACAAGACGTTCCACATTGCTGAGACGTGCACCACCGTACCATGTATTTCTATGGGCCCTGCGCGAGCTGCTGTGGATAGTCTGTCGAAGAGCCGGTGAAAATAGCTAAATTCAAGAAAACAACACAAACTCAACATAATCTTGAACAACCAAATTTATATATGCTGCACACACAGGGCTAATCTTGTTACACTGTCTCAACAACCATCTCAAAGTACCGTTTTCTCTGAGAGTTTTCGGCCTTTGTTTTCACCCAAGAATATTCTTGTGAATTATTTGCTGGCATAGCAAAAACTTGATTTTTTGTTATTGTGTTCCGAAATAGACAGACTGATAACCAAATTAAAATTTTGTTATAAGGTATGTCTAAATTTTTGCATTTGTTTCCAGAATTTTACATGTAGATCATTGGTACATTAATTTATCCTTGTGAAAACAGTTGCACCCTGGTTGGCTACATCTTACCAAAGGCATCTCTCGGGGATCTGCCTAAGGTTCAACTTTTCGGAATGTAATAACATTTTATAACAGAGTAATAAACCTAATTCCTACATAGATGATAATTAAAATAATTTTGACAGCAATGCACTTGAGAACTGATTTAGACAGCCAAAAAAACATGGAGAAATGCCAAAAACATAATTCAATTTAAACAGAGATTCAATGCCCCTTTTTTACATAATTATAAGAGTTTTCGTAACTGTATTTTAATCTGGTTATACTTGAAAATTTTATTTTGACATATTTCAAGTCTAATTTTTTCCTTTGTTGTATCAACCACCAATGAATGAATAAAATTATATTAATTAACTTTCTGCTTACTTCATTCACAAGTATTGTGTCACCGATGAAGAGAGCATACTTCTTTCCAGCACTGTCTGATGCACTCTTATTATCCAGGTTTGAGAAACCCACGTTAATATTAAACACCATACCCTTCCTGGCCTTGGCGTTACTCTTGGCATTGATGACAATGGAGCCTTCACGGAACTCAATACCAGTCACAAACCTAAAACATATTTTCAACAAGTCATTGTCAATGACACGTCCCCGTTCCGTTCATATTTGAGTGACATATACATTCAAAGCAGATCATG